ATAATATTATATAGATTATAATATTATATGTACATGAATCCTGTTATATTTATTTATAAATAATAGGTCTATTCGCGTTGCATGAAATCCCCAAATATTTTTGCACTTAAAATGAGATAGATACATATTTTATCTTGAAAAGAGAGAAAGTAAAGACGTCGAGCGTCAAAAGTGCAAGCAACGCGAACAGATCTATTGTTAGCATACATTTTGCTTACTTGATTTTAGACTAAAAAGTATTTATTCATAAAATATATAAAATAATAAGCTTGTGAAATTTAAGAACAAAAGTTACATTGTTTAATAGCTTATAATTGTAAAAAAAGAAATTGTACAGTAATATTGTTAATTAATATGACAATTATTGAACGCATATTAATTACCATATTTATTATTGCTTGTTATAGCTTTATTATCTTATCTAGATTTATTATCTTATCTCTTATTTGTAGACATTTTAATTGTAAATGGAACCTTAATAGTGCAGTCACAATAGAATAAGGAATTAGTAAGAAACAAAGATTCCAACCTATCAGGAACTGTCTATTCCGATGTAACCAATTTCTGATAGATTGAAATCTTTATTCTTTATTTCCAATTCCTTGTTTCTTCTAATGTGTAATGTAGCTGCACCTTAAAAGTTAGACTAAAACGCAATAAAACTTGAATCGAATTATTTTAATTTTAATAGGTCTTAATTGTCTCAGTTTAATTTTTACTTTGATTTTTAATTTTCAAACTTCAATAATCAATTTGGCTGCGTTCAGCAGCTTTGTAACTGTTGTAGTTTATACATTTAGATCTAGCAAGGAACTAAAGGCAGGATCAATCATATTAAAGAATTTTACACAAAGAGAGGTGCTTTCTCTGCTGAACGGAGCCTTTGATAGAGATATTATATATGAATTATTCATTTTTTACTTGTAGGATAATTAAAATTCATGCAATACAGACTTAATACTTAATGCGATCGGCGCGGTGGGTGACCAGACCAGGTCACGAATTCGCCTGTCTAGAGAATTAGCAAGTCATGGGTCGCAGTCGGTAAGTCGGTTGCGCGCGTCGTACATTTGGCCACTTGGGGCATTTGGCGTGACGAGAGCGAACCAGCGAACGCGTACCGCGAATCGCGACACCGCGTACAGCGTACGGGAAATAAACAGAACAGAGAGCGGCGTGTAGTAGTGGTGGTGGCGAGAGCGCGCGTTTAACAACCATGTCGTCGTCGAACAAGAAGGCCAAGGAGGAAGATCCAGGCTCGGGCGAGGGAGATGTCCGCGATTACGACGTCGAGATACAGAAGACCCTCGAGGAGATCGACGGCTGTCAGAATCAAATCGATGGCCTGAACGAGAAGGCCAGCGACGAGATCCTCGAGGTCGAGAAGAAGTATAACAAGCTGCGCAAGCCCTACTTCCAGAAGCGTAACGACATCATTAAGAGGATACCCAACTTCTGGGTCACTGCTGTATCCTTTTTATCGACGCCGCGCCCACCGTTTCGCGAGTCGACAACGGGAGATCGGCGTACGGCGTGCGAGATTTTTTGACGTTTCTCGACGGTGCCGGCGTCCACCGGCAACCGCCGCCATCTTACCTACTTGTGTACGTGCGTGAGCGTGTGTAACCGCTTATAGACTTATAGACGACTACGCATTTTATGATTATGCTTTTTCTATCATTCGCCAAATTAATGCTACACTCTCGGAGGCTTGGCGCCGTGCCGTTGTCAGCTCGCGAAAACGCGACTATATGTCAATCTTTCAATATTTCATGTCTAAATTAGTAACTCTTAAGTGTGTATAGATCAAATTCTGGATGTTTCTAAATTAGAATTATTTAGCTCCAATTTTGAATCTTTCATGAATTGTTTCAAATTAAAATAGCATTAATAATTGTTATTTTATTATCGATTGTTATTTATGTAAAAGTATTGATTCATATTAATATTTTTCCTTATAAGAAATTCAGTTTGTAAACAACAAAGAAATAGCAGAAATATTAGAAGAAGACGAGGAAGATGCATTGAGATTCTTAAACAAATTAGAAGTTGAAGAATTCGAAGATATCAAATCTGGCTATAGGATTAATTTTTACTTTGATGAGAATCCATATTTCGAAAACGATGTTTTAACTAAGGAATTTCATCTAGGATCTTCTGGTGAGCGCATTTGTTGTCAGTAATCTCCTATTAAATCAATAATATATGGAAAACTATGATTCTGTTATAATTTAAATAATATACAGTAAAAAAATAATATACAGTATGATATAATTCAATTGAGTGTCATAGTTGCGATGAATCTCCTGCTGTTTTGCAGGAGATCCAGCATCTCAAAGTACATCTATTCGTTGGAAAGAAGGTGCGGATTTAACAAAGAAAGCAAAAACCAAAGCACCACTGAAAGGACGTAAGAGGCCACTCAAGCACAGGTCATTTTTTGATTGGTTTACGGATCATGGAGATCCAAGCTCAGATGAGATAGCTGAACTTATTAAAGATGATATGTGGCCTAATCCATTGCAGGTAAATACTATTCTTTGAAACATGTCAAGTACATCTTACTCTTAAAAATTGAAAATTAAGCCACTCTTTTTTTAAGATTGGCTCCATTTTCATCCTTTAGAGTGAAACTCTATTTCAACGAATTTAGAGAGTATTCTAAAGACATTTAAATGTGGATATGTCGATATTGAAAAGTATTAATTTATTTCTATATATCTTAGTACTATAATACTTTAATTATTATCATTTGATGGTTTCTAGTATTACCTGGCTCCAGATATGGAAGTTGAAAATGGTATTGAGGGCGACGGTGAAGAATGTGAAAGCGAAGAGGAGGATGAAGAGGAAGATGGTGCGGATGAAGGTGATGAAGGAGGAGAAGGAGAAGAGGGGGATGATAGTATAGTGGTGGTCGAGGATGACGTTGATGAAGACGATGATGAGGATGAGGCTGTGAATGATGAAGATGATGGTGTCAATGAAGAGGATGATCTATTGGACGATGAAGGGGATCGTGAAGGTAAGTGTTAAAACTAAGACTTAAATATTATTGTGTGATATGCTTGATGCTATATAGAGATCCATTTAATTGTTGCAGAGGGAGAAGAACCTATATAAAGTTGGAATTTGGTTTCTTTGGTTCATCATACAAAAAACGTGAAAAAAAAAGAAAGAAAAATGAATGAAATTTTGTGCACCGAATCAATCAAGAGCAGATAGTTTAGTGGACTGAAAACAATATGCCATATGAATAAATCTCAGGACACATTTTTTCTGAATATATGAAAATAGAGAAGCAGAATTTAGAAGATCTAGACTCTTTCAATTGAGAACCTGTGTAAAAATACAGCATTTGTTAAGATATATTGAAAGTGGTTTGAAAGGAAAGGGTCTGGATTAAATTAGATAGGTTCTACCATTGCACTAAATCTGTCAAAACATAAGACAAATTCCTCAGTTATATTCATATGGCCTAGTCGTCGTTCCCTTTATAAAATAACGTCCGCTTGGTTCTCAATATCGCGGATTTTATGAATAAGTTAGGATAAAATAGAACGAGGCATTAGATGAAGAGTTCCATTTGCTTTCCTATAAAAATTATTCTTTAGATAACTTCCAGAACGAGGTGTCTATTTATAGAATTTTTGAGAGTGACGACTATATCTTCCGCACATGAAATACACGGACTTTTACACCATTGTCTTATTACTTTTGAATAAAAATTACACTTAGAATAAAGATTTTATTCTTTGCTACTATTTGAATATTTTTTACAATCACATATGTCTATTACTACTCTGGAAACTGTGTAGTGGTAACAAATTTTTAATGTCTCTTGGTGATTGTTACTAACTTATTTAATTTATATCACTGCAGACTGCACTTGTATTTTATCTAATGGTGTTTAAATATCTTTTATTAACAGATGTAATGAGAAATGTTCGTGTCCTGTTTATAAGTTATATATTAAAAATTTACACATATTACTGTGACATAGCATATGATTTTGGCTACATGTTATAATGTTGCCTCCAATAAACTCATAGATATTGTATATTTATGTATTATTATAAAACTTACTTAATATTTTAGTTGAAATTTTATGAACCGATTATCACATTCTATCAATATTCTATCAATAGAGATATGTTGCTATGCTCAAAAAATGATGTACAATTTTTGATAAAAAATTACAAGGTAAAATTGTGTATTTTATTACTTACGCGGACAAATGAGAATGTTTGCTCTATATTGAAATCCATTTCGATTAGCATTAATTCTCTGTTGGATTACTATCGTCTAAAGAATTTAAGTTCAGTTTTTGATCACGATATTCATAACGAACTTGTCACACTTAGAAAAATATTTTCATCTTACACACCTCGTTCACATTCTTCCACACTTCGCGTATCACGATTTACTCATATAAAGTAAATGTTTCGCAAATATTTTTTTATTACATTTGATACATTACGTACTTCTAACGATAATTTCATTTTACGAGATTCTTGTATTATATGGCAAAGGTGAAATCAACTCATCAAATATAAAATTATGATGATCTATTACATCTTCTATAATCGGCGTCAATAGAGAAGAAATAAGGCAAGTTCTCGGTTACACATTTGCATCAGTAAACAGAATCTCATTAGTTACTCTACATTCGAAGCTTAGGAAACAAGTAATTACTATACTCTCGAATAAAAAGCGCTCGTAGTTGATTTAATAAGATAAGCTGTA